CCCTCCCAGTCCCTCCCAGTCCCTCCCAGTTTATTCCCAGTACACACCGGGTTGAAGCCGCCCCCCGCCGGCCGCAGGGGGAGGGGCAGCAGCGGTGGGTGTGGCCGGGGGGCGGGGCTAAAGGCCAGAGCCCAGGGCTGCCCCAGCACCTGGGGGCGGGGACATGCAAATGAGGCCGGCAGCCACACCCAACGCGCCGGCCAATCGCGGTGACGCTCGTCAGGCCACGCCCTCGGGTGGCAACGCCTCATTGGCCAGATGAAGTCAGGCCACGCCCTCCTTGGACACACCCACCTCATTATAAGGCAATTTTATGCAAGCCACACCCTTCCTGGTTGAGGACACGCCCCCTTTTAAACAAAACCTGCCCCTCATGCCACACCCACTTCCTTATGTGGTAATTAATAACCAAGCCACGCCCACTTCTCTATATGGTAATTTACACACACCCACTTCTTTATATGGTAATTAACACCCAAGCCCCACCCACATCCTTATATGGTAATTAATAACCACGCCACACCCCCTCAGGCCACACCCACTTCCTTTTATGGTAATTCACATTCAAGCCCCACCCACTTCCTTATATGGTAATTCTCACTAAAGTCACACCCACTTCCTTATATGGTAATTATTAACAAGCCCCACCCCCTCAGGCCCCACACACTTCCTTATATGGTAATTAATAACCTAGACACACCCCCCTCAGGCCACACCCACTTCCTTACATGGTAATTATCACTCAAGCCCCACCCACTTCCTTGTATGGTAATTATAACTGAAGCCACACCCACTTCCTTACATGGTAATTATTACCAAGCCACGCCCTCAGGCCACACCCACTTCCTTATATGGTCATTCCCAACCAAGCCCCACCCACTTATATGGTAATTAACACTCAAGCCCCACCCACTTCCTTATATGGTCATTCCCACCCAAGCCCCACCCTCTTCCTTATATGGTAATTAGCACTCAAGCCCCACCCACTTCCTTATATGGTCATTCCCACCCAAGCCCCACCCACTTATATGGTAATTAACACTCAAGCCCCACCCACTTCCTTATATGGTAATTAACACTCAAGCCCCACCCTCTTCCTTATATGGTAATTAACACCCAAGCCCCTCCCTCTTCCTTATATGGTAATTACCAAGCCCCACCCCCTCAGGCCACACCCACTTCCTTATATGGTAATTCCACCCAAGCCCCGCCCCACGCCGAAGCCCCGCCCACCTCGGTAAGGAAGGGTGGGCGGAGCCTCATCTGATTGGCCACGGCCGCCAGCGCCTGCAGGTGCCGCTCCAGCCCCGCCCCCGTCATGGCCGCCCGGCGCCGCCCCCGCGCCTGCGCCAGCGCCGCCTCCAGCAGCGCCCGGCGGCGGCCCCGCTGCGGGACCCCCGGGCAGCGCCCCAAAATCA